ACCTGACTGCCCTCTGACGCATTATGGCGGGCGCCACGGGAACGCTTTCGCTTGCTTCCGTGGGCACCATTATCTAATTCCTTCGTTAAGGTAATTTAACTTTTAACATTTGATGCGCCATTTTGATAATTATTATGATCCGCTTTCGCGCCGCGAGATGATGAGAAGATGGCAAACGAGTAAGCTATCACCCGAATTCGCCGAAATATCGAAGCAACCGCTGTGCATATACATCCGCAATTGCAGATGTCTTACCTACTTTTAATAGACAGAGGTAGGGACGCACAGAAAGACGATATTTCTCCTTCCTATACGCCCCATCCTTCTCTTATAGGAAAAGGGCAGGAATCCGGCAGGAATTATGTAGTGGGTTTTCACCGCATAAAAAATTGCAAAAAGTATATATTCCTTTAATTCTTTTAAAAAAAAACATCGATAAGAATTTTATATAATTGCAAAGCAATATACGATTAGGTTACTAGTTCGTTAGAAATTATAATAAAATAAATAAATTGGTAAAAGTGAATGGCCGAACGTACAACGCACAAAATGTTCTACATAACCAGATGATATAAGTCAAATCTACGAAACAATAGCAGGCAAAGTAAGACGGAAATCAACAATTTTCTATAACAATTCCTCATGCAGAAATCGAAACAATGTTGTATGGACAATGCTCTATCATTAAAACCTAAATTAGCTTTGTATTTTCCGGTAAAAGTCTGTTACTCTGCGATTATATTGCAATCAACTCGCTGCAAAGTTGCGAATCATTCGTGACGTCATACTATACGTTTTAACTAAGATTATGCATGAACCCGCGACATATTGTGACGTCATAAATGGAAAAGGGGTTTTTTAAAACAATAGTTCCATGTTTTTGTGTTATTCCATTACAGAGCCATCTAGCGGTAAATAGATTCAGTGGTGGCAATTACATTTTCCGAAATTTTACCGTCATCTAGCGGCAAATAGAGACACTAATATTAATTTCGTACGAATGCGTTTCTTCCTTTGCCACTAGATGGCTCTGGAATGGAATAAAACAAATATAGATATAAAATTATTTTCGAAATATCCCGTTTCATTGTCCCTATACCATTTGAGATTTATGACGTCACAATATGACGCAAGTTGCACAATCTTGAACTTGCATACGTAAGCAAACAATTCTTATAAACTCTGACCTCTGTTCATATCCTTTTTTAATTTGGGCCCTTCTTTAACAAATTGAGGACGAAACAGAAATATAACTACTATGTACTAACCAGGTATTCAAAATAAAAATCTCACAAAATTTCCTTAAGTATTTATTAAAATAATGTATGTACAAATGAAAACTTAACCTATAATCTAGAAATGTGCTGTCAGTCTGTCTATCTCGTACAAGTCTGACATAATTTCATCCACTTTTGTACCAATCTTCTTTGCAATCTGCAACAAATATATTTATTTAACAAATGTCGACAGCATAAACCAAAACAGGTGTATTTCTTAAAATAGTTCCGTAGGTTTCACATTTTTGCCTATCTGCTATTTTTTTACGTTTCCATAATAATTTTTAACATTTTTTATCTTTTTAAGAAGGTAGCTAGATGGTGCTATTCCATTAAAGCTTCTGTAAGTCATTTTTTGTTTGTTTTTTAATAAAGATTAAGTTAATTACTTACATCGTGTTTCTCCGCGTTGGGCATAGATGTGAACAAGGTGATGAGGTCTCCGTCTAATATCCCGCGCGCCGGACCTCCGCCCACCGCGCGACGTGGATTCTTGTACGTCCTACAAGTAAAAAAAACACTATAATAACTATGCACTAGAAAAGATTTAGTCTATTATTGAAAAATAGATGGCGTTAGCAGGTTAAAAAAAATCGTGTTTTTCTTACCTAAGTTTGGTTCTAAAACCAAACACTTAGCTCAATTTCGTTGTTATAAAGATCCTGGGAAACTTTTAAAATGGATTTCAATAATATCTGAAAGAGAAGTGGTTTTGTTTTCTCCCAGAAACCACTACCTTTTGTACCTTCCATTCTTTCCAATACAAAAGCTATTATTAAAAACATCTTTACCTAAAAGCTCTAGGATTGAGTCCGGCGATGTGACAGCAGTAATTATTCATGACATTTTGCAACATCAGCAGCCGCCGGTATGCCTTCTCCGACACAGGCAACACGTATCCCAACCCGCCATCTAGCGTCGCTGTGATACATACAAA